CCTGCTCTGTGTAATCAAAGAGCATTGCACTCTTATGGATCTCACACGGTTCATGAAGCTTTCCATTTGTTGCTGACAGAACCATCTGTTCAGGTGCCTAGTGTTGCTGACAATTATATATCAGAAGCTTGCGTGCATAAAACTTCCTTCTCATAAGCAAAAATCAACTTTGTGCACTTCAAGCGTGGTGCGCAATAGTACACTTGCTATACCAGGGAAAACAGAAGCATGTTTATTCAGTCTAATATAAACCCTTCTCTTTTTTCCTTTCATTTTAAGAGAAGTAATGGAAAAAGTGGTAGCATGTTGCTGGTTTTTAATCTTTTGGTATAGTTTGATCAACTTCTTCTATATTTTTAAGGACGCAACCTTTCTGTGCAGAAAATGGTTCTCTCGTTATCATCCGATAAAGCTGTTTGGGATGCTGTTTTGAATAATGCTGTTGTTCAAGAGCTGCGGGAAACCTACTATGCAGGTCTGTATGGGTTTCTGTAATATAGAAGTTCAATGGTCATATATTCAATGTAACTGGTTAACAGGGTATGCATACTTTTATTGTGAAGCACTGCCCTGCATTTTGAAGTGGATCTCCGACTCTTGAATTTTTCATCACAACTTCATGCTTTGGCATGATTTTTTTTATGTAAATTTAGAATAATTCTAAGCAGGAAGGATAAGGAAAAACCAATACCTAAAACACTAGCTCAACTTGGTCTACATTTGGAGTCCACATTACTATTTAAGCTTCAAAAAATAGCTGGCAGTGACCTAACGAGTTTAGGATTTCTGTCCAACGTATTTTAGATGTGCAGTCTTTGGAGGTTCAGGCGCCAGCCTTGTACATGAGATCTGCAAACACAACAAATCACGCAGAACAATTATGACATCCTTACGGAGCCACAGTCAAGATTATTAAAAGTAATGCTCCTGCATGTAATATTGTATTTCATATTGTAATTTCCATGATATTTGCAGATGAAAACACTGATCCACTAACTTCTGAGAGCTCAGACGAGACTGGTGAGGAAACCAATCCAGCTTTGAATTTTGTGAAGTGGATATTTGACAACACAAGAGCGAGGGTTGTGGAAGTGATCGAGACAGTAACAAAGCTGGTGAACGAGCTGTTTAAGCCACCAGCTGATGAGAAGACATCAGCAGGAGCCAAGGATCCATTTGAGGACAAGCTGAGAAGCTCGTTCCTGCTTTCCATTATGGTCCTGCTGATCGTGGTTGCGACTCGAGTCCAGAAGGCTTGATCACCATAATTTGATGACGCGACAGGTAGTATTTCTCCCAGTGGTGACTTTTACTATGGAAGGTCCCGAATGGGTTGCTTAACTTGAGTCCTTCAGCTCAAGTTATGCTCGTGGACATGGCAGTGCATGTTATGTAATGAATTTAACTTGTTTGGCAAGACGGTTGCTATTGTGGACTTGAATCCTCTTGGCAGGTTGTATATATATAATGTGGTTTGTGAATGTTAAGCTGTTTTTGTTGAGCAATCCTAGCTTGTAAAGTGGGGTGGAGTTTCCAAATTCATGTTCCATGGAATCCATGTTTATGTTTTCATTATTGAGGTCTATATATGGCTGTAATTTTTTTGAGTCCAGATGATTTTGAAATCAGTTCATCTTTTGTATAAACAATCCACATCCGTTGACTTCCTAGTTGACCCTCGAAAACCAACGGGGAAAGAAAACGAGGAGTTACTAAGCAAATAAATAATATCATGCTATAAAATGGATGTTTATTTATTTATTTTTTATTTTTCATGTTTATTTATTATCTCTGAATTTATTTGACTTTTAACCCCTGAGCTTATAAATATTAATATACATTAGACTATAAATAAGAATATTGTTGGGTTGATGTAGTGACATGAATGCTCTATTTGTATTCTTTTAATCTTTATTGTTATATATTTATTTTATTTACTTTTTATTAAATATATTATTTGTTTGTAAATATATAGTTTTATAATACATTATTTGCACAATTACTCATCTCTTTCATCTTAAAGCAAATAGTTATATTTGATTTGTCGATAAAAAATAAAAGGTATGTTTATCTACTTAATTTTTTTTTCTAATCCTTCTAGTTATTCAAGTGAATCATGTTTTTTTTAAAATTCATAACAAATTTATTCAATACTTGAATAAATGTTTATTACGTATCTGGTGTAAATAAGGTAAATATTATGATTTTCTTATGACATCTTCATAAGGAATTAAAAATTGAGTATCTCATAATCATATATCCCTTTATTTTTTAGCAAAACTAAACTTGAAAGAAAGATATGACTATCAAAGAATAATTATTCTCCAAAAAACTTGTTATGATTGAATGTATTTATGATTGCATGATTTTAAATTGGTTAGCAAATATAATTCTACAATATTTAGTATCAGTTCTAAACTCAAACTATATAGAGATATATCTTAAAAAAAATATTATCTACTTTTTCATGCCTCAAGGTTTTAAGAAATACTTTGAACTAATTTCATGTATCCTTGTGGTTGAACAAATAATGAGCTTTTAATAAGAACTTATGAATCACAAGTGATTGGTTCAACTCCATTCCTTAAAGTGAATGCTACCAGATATAATAATAATTATGGTTATGGTTGTAGTGAGACCATAGACATGGCCATAGGCCAATGAATTAATTTTTGTAACTATAATCGTCATAATTCTAATAAATCTTCACAAGATGAGGAGAAATGAGAAAAAGCGAAGTATATGTATAATGAAGGTACTAAAAAGATAGAAAAAATTTATTATAAGTGTGAAATGAATGGATATTGATCACATACCAAACATCTTGTTGATGTATATCATTTTTCATTGAAAAGAATGGAGATGGACTTGGAAATAAAATTTATTCAACCCCATCTAGATAATTATGATATTTATCTTGACCCTTTGAATAAAACACATCTTGATGTTGTTGATTTTTTTAGCAAACTAATGAGAAAATTAATATTTTTAGTAATGATAATAATTAGTTAGTTAAATATAAGAATATAAAAATTTGAATTTGAGTTAATCATTGGGGTGTGTTTTTTTTACACTAGTATATTTTAATGTATTTTGAATTGTTCCTTTCATATTGGCTTATTTAATCTAAAGGATAATTGACATATGCAACTTTAAGAACTTTGTCTTCTTATGAACTTATTATTTATTTATTTATTCTAATTAAGAAAACATGAACTTGCATTAGACTATAAATGAGTCCAATATCAGTGGTGAAGATATATGTTTAGTAGATAGTGTAACGACGCACATCATTTTTATGCATAGATAATATTTTTAAAATTTAAAAAGGATAAAAGAAAAAGGTATATACAATATCAAGTTTAACAGACTTGACTAAAAGCTTCAAAAGAACAATATATTGCTTTCTAAGGAAACAAGATTTATAATTGATAATGCTTTGTTCTATACCAAATTAATATGAAATATGTTAAGTTTCAAAGATATAGGTACAATATTAAAACTGCTAATGACAATAGTTTTCATATCATATTAAATGTCTCTACTAAAAAAGTAAATATTGAAAAAATTACTCATTTTATCTTCAAGTTTATACTGCATAAGTACTAATATAATTGAAATCAATGCAATAATGAACTAGTTCAATAATAATACAAAGAATTATTGAGAATTCTCATAAAGATCCATTGAAAAACCAAAATATTCTTTAATTTAAAGAATTCTTATATAATGCTTATTCTCAAGATAAATTGATTATTACATCATCATTAGCTAAAATTAGGATTGAATCCCTAAAAATTCCTGGAACATATTTAAGGTGATATTTATGAGCCCATTCACCCATCATATAGACCATTTAGATATTTTATGTTTTTAATAAATGCTTCAATAAAATAATTATATGTGTGTTTATTATTAACTTGTAATGTGACATTTACAAGATTACTTGCTCAAATCATTAGATTACAAGTAATTTTCAGATTATATAATAAAGACAATGCATCCCAATAATGCTGATTAAATCACATCCCAAGTATTTAGTGATTTTTACATGTCATTTAGGATGAACAATGGATATCTTGTTATCTATTTTCATACTCAAAATGGTTTTGCTGAATCATTTATTAAATACCTTCAATTAATTTTAAGGCCACTACTCATGAGGATAAAATTCACTTTCTGTTTTGGAACATGTTATTTTACATGCACCAACACTTATATATATTAAGCCAACATCATATCATGAATTCTTCCAATTCCAATTGGTGTTCAATCATAAGCCAAATATTTCCCATATAAGAATATTTGGTTGTATAGTATATGTTTCAATTTCTCCACAACCCATAAATATAGATCCTCAAAGAAAATTGGGAATATATATTAGGTTTTAGTCCCCACCAATAATTAAATATCTTGAACTCTTAACAAATGATTCATTTACGACATGATTTGCCTACTGTCATTTTTATAAGACTATATTTCCAGTATTAGAGGGAGAAATTAAATAGTTGGATAAAGATATTACATGAAATGTATTATTATTATTAAATTTTGATCATCGTATAAAACAATGGGAAAAAAGTTTAGTTTATATTTCATTTACAAAACATTGCAAATCAGCTACTAAATGTATGCATTGATTTAAAAAGAGTAACTAAATCCTATATACTAATTGTAAATACTTTAGCTTGGATTGAAGTCCTAATAGGACAATCTATAAAATTATAGCAAATGAATCTAAAACATACTAGAAGCCTGGTAGACCAACCGGTTCAAAAAAAATAAGAAAGTAATCAAGTTGGCATTATTGAGGAGGAAAAGAATCATAATGATACAAATATAACTAATCATGAAGCCTCAAAAGAGGTTTAGGTACCTAAATACAGTAAAAATAATTGTCTTTACAAGAAAAAGATAAAACCAAAATGAAATAGTTATCGATAACACCTGAATATAATAAAAATAATTATCTCTACAGGAAAAAAATAAAACCAAAATGAAATAGTTATCGATAACATTTTTTCATATAAAATATTTTGCTTGATATCATTAATGAAAATGAGGACCTTGAGCCTAAATATATCAAAGAATATTGATGTATAAATGATTAGGTAAAATAGAAAGAATCAATCCAAACATAATTAAATTCACTCATAAAATATGAAGTTTTTAAACCTATAGCCCAAACATCTGAAGGTGTAAAGGTAGTTGGCTAAAAAGGGGTATTTATACAAAAACTAAATGAGAAAAATAAAATCATAAGATATAAGATACAATCAGTAGGATAAGAGTTTTTACAAAGATTTTATATTGATTATGATGAAACGTATTATCTTAATATAAATGCAATTGCATTTCAGTATCTTATTAATCTAACAACTCATGAAATACCATATAAGTGTATGATGGATGTAGTACAACCCCCCCATTTAGATTAATTGATAATTATATTTATATAAAAATCCCTAAATGATTTAAAATGCCTAAAATATATAATTCATATCCCAAAAAAGTTTAACCAATCAAGTTGCAATGGTTCTTATATGGATTAAAGCCATGAAAATGCATGTAGTATAATATTAGTGAATATTTATTTAAAGGATGATATAATAATGATCCTATATGCCAATGAGTTTTTATAAAAATGTCAAAATATGATTTTGTTATTATTGTTGTGTATATTGATGATTTAAATATTATTGGAACACTTGGAAAAATACCAAAGATAATAAATTATTAAAAAAAATTTGAGATGAAGAATTTGAGAAAAATAAGATTTTATCTTGGGTTATAAATTAAGCATTTAATAAATAATTTTTTCTTTAACCAGTCAACTTACATAAAAAAGTTATTAAGAGATGTTTTTATGGATGAAGCACATTCATTTAGTACCCTCCAATAACTTGATGTGAAAATAAATTTTTTTAGATCTTCAGAGGATAGTGAAGAGTTACTTGATTTTAAAGTACTATATCTTAGTGTAATTAATGTGCTAATATATTTTACAAATAATAAATGACTTGATATAATATTTTATGTGAACTTGCTAACAAAATATAGTTTT